GGGTGCCGCGCACCTGCGGGCGCCGAGGCAGTTGTCCGGCCCGCCCCGCTCTCGCGGCCTGGTCGGGGCGGGCACGCGGCTGCACACACAGCGCACTGCCGGCACTACCGGTGGCATCTGTGGGCCGTCCCCGATCGCCGCCCCGCACTGCCAGCACTACCGGTGGCATCTGTGGGCCGTCCCCAGTCGCCAGCCCTCGATGCCAGCACCGCCGGTGGCGGCTGCGGGCCGTCCCCGATCGCCAGTCAGCGCTTGCCCCCCCGCCGCCAACAGTGCTGCGGCCGCCTATCCCCGCTTGCCAGTGCTGTGCCCCTGCCTCGGCCACCGCCACCTGCAAGCAGTCGCCATGGCCCCCAGCCTCCGGGGGCACGCGTCGTTCATGGCTCGGTGCCCACCGAGGCGCAGCGGCTTTGAGCCCGCTTTATGGAAACGGGAGCCTCTTCCCCAGCTTCCTGCAAGGGCCTTATGGCTGCGGGCAAGCAAAACCCGGAGCAGCCGAGCCCCCGGGGTTGGGCCTAAACGTAGGATGCCCGCCAAAGGATTTGGAAACCTCTGAAGCCCCAGGTGCGGGGGGAGGATGGTTGCTGGTAGCAGGGCCACTTACGCTTCTGGACTCGGGTTTGGAATTAGTTCGGGCTGATTTGGCCTCGGATACAAATTAAAAAAAAAATCTGATATCTGTTATTAGACCGACTCAAATAGTTGGAAAAATTCGTCTTAGGGAGCTTTTGGGAATGAATACCCTTTGTCAGGCTGAGGGGGATCTGCAATTGGGCTGCACTCAAAGCCTAATGCCCCGAGCCGGCCCAGGGAAAGCAGGGAAGCCGCGGCAGCCAGTGGCCTGCTTCTAGGAGTGGGTGTTAATACAAAAGATGCGGGGTAGAAGCTGTGCCCCCAGCTGCAGAAGAAGGCACCCCCCCAGTCTGTACCAATCTGACGGGTAAAATTCCTCCCTGACCCCAAACGTGAGGCAGCCTGCCCTACCCCACCTGCCGCGTGCCAGAGGGTGTGGCACAGGGATGCCCCAGGGACAACTGGTAGTGGCACAAGGTGTCCTGCTGCTAGTTGTCCCTGGCGAACCAAACATCCACGCTCGTGTGGACGCGACTTTGTGGTCTAAATCAGCCGCAGAGCCGAAGCCTCCCGACGCAGTGGGTTTATTTCGCCTGATGACAGGATCAGCTGACAAAGTAAACCTGCTGCTTAGGAAAGCTGATGCAGTGCTGTAAGAGATGCCTCTGATTTAGTCTAGAAGGTGCACTTCTACCCTGCCTTCTGCTCCAAGGCTCTCAGGGATTGGTAGCCAAAGCCCTGGTGGAAACAAGCAGGTGCAATCGACCCTGGTTCAGTTTGCTCTGGTTGCAACCCAAGAGGAGCAGCACTTTTACTAATTGTGTGTTTAATGGATTGGCCTCCTTGTGCCGGGGGCTCTTTCTGCGGCTGGTCACTAATGGCTGGAACTGAAGCAGACCTTCAGCGGTGACAAGGCTGTGGAGGACTGACTCCACTACTGAAACCCCTTCAGTATGGAGGCATTCTCTGCAGTCCCCAGGGCTAGGGACAAACATCCAAAAAGCCTGAGCTGGAATCGATCTAAGTTATGCCGTGCAGTTTGATCGGTAGTGAACAGGACACGCTTTTGCCCTTTGGCGCGGGGAAAGCCTTGGACTGCACCCACCATTGTTAAAGCAGCCTGTGTGTGCTGAAGTCCCGTGTAGCACATTTATGCTGAACTTACATTTTTTGCTTTGAACAAAATCTAGTGAGTCATCCGTCACATGCTTGTTTTTCCGATTAAAATGTCTTGAAAGAAAATATCACTTTGTGGTAGCACTTCTCACTTCTGCAAAGACTTGGTGTATGCAGCAGCTTTTTTCGTTATTAAACTTTTATTCCCTTTCTTTGTGGGCTTCTGCCTCTGTGCTCTTGAGAGGTCATGAGGCTTGATCCTGCCCTGTTGTAGTCACCATGAATCCTATTGATTTGAGCAGGCTCAAACAAAAGTTTTGAAGGCTTTGTCTGTATCTCTAGGGCACAGAGCAAATGCTGTAGGTAGTGTTGCAATGCTGCTTTTCACTTTCTGGCCTTGTTTTCATTCATCGAGGCTTGATCATAAATGTGCGTTACCCTTGCCTACAGCCCGTTATGGATCCTACGAAATGTATTGTAAATAAAGCTCATCGCGTTTCTGCCCCACTGTCCTGGAGGTGATTTGCAGATCCCACAAGTGAGAAGCAGCCACAGGAAAGACTCATACATCAAATAAACAAGCCCCTCTCTTGGGAGCTGCAAGGTGTCTCCCGGTTGTGCCCTCCTCCACATCAATACCTGCTGCGTGTGCTGTATTTCCTGACGCACAGTCCTCTCCCAGCAGATTGTGCTTGCAGGCTCTCACCTTGGATAGAGTACACATCCTTATCTGACTTGTGCTGTCAGCACAAATCTCTTCACCCATAAAGTTTTATACTCTTTGTTTTAGCCTACTTATGTATCCCCTTTCTGTGAAGAATTACCAGTTGCTTTATTTTCTTCTCCAGAAACTTTTTTAAACAACCAGGAAGTTGCTTTTTTTTTTACTGTCTCATCAAAAGTCCTGGCCTTACTATTGAATTCTGATTTCAATTATAGCCATACATGTCTGGAGTGATTCCAGATTTAGGTCCTGTTGCCATAAATGACTGTACATGTGCCATAACTTGTATATTGAGGTCTTACAGCATTGCAAGTGAGAACAGACCCTGGCCCGTTCCCTTTATTTCCACAGCTGTAGCAAATTCTGGTGAGCTGCTTGTTATTGTCTAGTATTAGATAATCATCATTACGTCCTTTCCATTCCTGAGCAACATGTTTGTCAAGACATATTCTTATTTTAGCTCATCCCTCAGCAGTTTTACCAAAACCATTTTATTATGTCTTTGAAAAATACATTGTTTTACATTGTCCTGAAGGATTGTTTTTTAAAAAAATCAGTTTTCTTCCCCATTGAGAGTGTTACTTTACATTTCACATATTTTGGGTCAATTCTCACACATTCACGTTCCTCCAGAAATGTTTGCTTAATCACAACAAATATTACCTGTATTTTTTTCAAATAATCCGGTGAATTCTTACATTGTGCTTTCACTAGACTCTGAACAGCATATTTGTCTCTGTACTTACATAAGATGTAGCAACATTTTGGAGGGTCGGTAAGAAACTCCTCCTTTTGGTTTTATTTTGGTTGTTGGTGAGCTAATACACACACACACGCACATGTATAGATATGGGTGTGTGTGTATTTTTTGGAATGTATTATCTTGCAATAGCATTTTACACTTCCACTTTTCCCTTTCAGTCTTAAGCTCATCACATGATGGGATTTACCAAACAGACAATGCGCATTTTATTCTGCAAGGCATACTTGTACAATGTAGTGTTCAGACTGTTTGCATGTATTGACTCTTGGACCTTTCCACCTCCTTAGTTCTGACCTGAGAGTGTTTGTTCCTAGCTCATAAAATTGCAACCCCCCCCGCCCCGCCCCCAAATTCTCTCTCTTGCTGTCCAGAAGCATGGGATGGAAGGAGAGAATTACACTTGCATGTAGGTTTGCTAAGGAAACTCATGATCAGACAAACTGAATACAAAAAACTATTTACCCTCTAAAAGATCCATATGATCTGGCCCTTGAGTGATTTAGGCCCAGTCCTGTTAACACTTACGCACTTTTTGGCTGTGCCAGTACAGGTTTCCCTTGCTTCATGTGGGTCTGTAGGTGCAAATTTGCTCTTATGCGATGACACTTTATATACCAAAAATTCATTATATGCAAAGTAAATTCACTGGGATGCGATCGGTGTGGTGGAAGCCTGCAGGCAGTTGCTCTGTGTGGGGCGTTGTGGGAGGGATGCACACCGGAATATAGTCTCCTCGTTTGTTGCTGGCGACACGCGTTTCTGTATTTGCCATCCCCGTTATGACAGTGCCCTGCGCTGGTGTGTGCTGTCTGCTGTTGGTGAGTACCAAAATTGTCTTGTAAAAGTGGTAGAAATGGGTCTGGGGGTCAGGACAGTCGAGGTCTTGGAACATATCCCTGTTTGTTACATTGAAAAGTGGGTTCCCTTTACGCAAATTCGAGTTATGCGCCGTTGTCCAGGAACTGCATAAAGCGAGGGAAACCTGCACATATGGAACCAGCTAGGCCACAGGAGGTTTTCTCTGGATTAAGCCAGCGAGGTTGAGGGGGACGCTGTGTGTTGGGCAGCTCTGTGTCTCCATATACACTGCCCAGGCTTTTGCGCTCTGGAGAGGTCACTCCAGCTTCATTTTATCTTTTTGGCGAGGATTACCGTTCAGCAAGCTGATGTCTTGCTTGGTGTAATTCTGTTGTTTCGCAAGACAGACTGATGCCTACTGCTACCTGTACTTAGGCTGTGATTCGAACAGATGCTCACGCATGTGCCTGTGTGAATGCGTGGGAATGCTCGTGAGGCTAAAGTTAGGCATATTCTCAGATATGTTACTGAATCACAGCTGCTCTGATATGGGTAATCCTGCCGGAGCCTATGACAATGTTCACGTGAGTAAGTATGAGCATGTGTATAAATGTTTGCAAGATCAAGAGCTTACTTATGTGATGCTGGTTTGAAAAACTAAGGCTACTTTGATTCAGATGAGGGTGCTTAGGCTTGATATCAGATCTGTATCTTCTACACTTTCTGATATTTTGTGATTTTAACTGCAATCAGAATATTGCTTCTATGTCATTTTTTACAATGCGATTTCTTTATTACTCTTAACAAGCAAAAAGTGGAAAAACAAAAAAATCCCCACACTCAATGCAAGAATTTAATCAGTTTCCAATGATTATTTGAAACTTGTCCTTTACTGAAGTGATTGAGATCAGGAAGAAGTTAATATTTTGGGTGTTACTGGATGAATAGTAATTAATGATAAATCATTACTCCACCATTGCTCCTGTTATTATTGGGCTTGAAAAACTCTCCTGCAAGGATGGCTGGGTTTATATGCCTTCTATAAATATCTTTTAAACTCAAGTATAACTGGGGAAATAAAGTATTTCTTTTTATTATCCCCAGCCTAAAAAGCCAAAGATGTTTTGCTTAATTTTTTAAGAACAACATCATCACCTTTAAGCATTTCAAGTCATGGAAATCAGCCCTAGGAGGCAAATATTTTGGAAAATTACCCATGTGAAAATGACATAAGTAAACATGGGAAAAGAGACCCTGCCAATTTAAAATCACTGTGTCTCAAACTGTTTTACCTACATAAAGGTGCATGCAAGTAACAGCAGAGTATAAGAATGTTAATGTAAAGAGATTATATATTTCTGTGTATATATTATTTTGAGTACATGATGCATCATCGGTTTCGGTTTCCCCTACTTGTTTGTGTGGATCTTTCAAACAGCAACAGGAGAGAGAAAAGCAATAACAGGTAAATATGGTTGTAACACAAAAGGAATTGTCAGAGGAACTCAGGGGTGGTAAGCCCATTTTTTTTCAATGGACTAGATTTCAGATTGCTGTTGTTTCCCTTTCTAAATTATAAATAGAGGCAATATATTCTCTTCAGGAGAATTGCTGAATCGCTCAGGCAGTAGTAAACAGATGTTCGAGCCTTTCATTTTCAGACTAAGCAGCACTCACCTACCAATGCGCTAGGTACCGTACACATATTTAACAATGATAAATCATAAATCCGGCCCTCAAGGGCATGAGCCAGCCAGTGCTAGAATAGTGCTGGAATTGCTCTTTGGAGATCAGGGACCAGGAGATAATCTGGTTTGTACATCTAATGGATAGAGAGACTATTCATAATTTTCCCTAGTGCATATGTCCAGGTGCTACATTTCTTTCTGATCTCTAGAGTCTTGGCTAATCCTGCATGGGTTCCTCTGCTGGCAGAATTGCTGTTTCTGATCATGCCCCTTACGAGGGCAACTAGCAACAGGAGACCCAAGTAAGGAACAGCCCTGTAGATCGTTCACTTGTATTGCATCCCAGTTTCAAAGTGTTTATTGAGAGAGAAACTGTCTTGCTCTTGGAGGAAGATGAAGCCTCAAGATCTTTTAGCCTGCTATTGTGGGAGATGCAGAGGGAGGGCAGAACTATTAGTTTCAGGTCTGCAAAACAAAGAGGAATTTGAGGAAAATGGCTCTGGGGAGGAAGTGTTTGCTTTCTTTTACAATGTAACCACAAAATCAGATCTGTTGTGATTCCTAATGGCAGCTCTAGATAAGAATTCAATGCTCAGTGCAGGTTACAAGCAACCTAGGATTTCAGGAGCTGGGTGAAAAAGCTGGCAAGCTGCTGGCATACTGCCTAAGACAACGGCTGCTGAGAGTGGGGTCATGATTGATAACTATGCGCTATAGACATGGCAAGTGATATTGTACCATCACTAAGATAGTGCTTTAATAAGTATAAAGATCAGGACAAATTAAACAACACCCCCCCCATCTTAGAGAAGGATCAAGTTTTCTAAAAACCTATCATAATGCTGCAGAGGACTGCAGCCAAGGCCGAGTTGCTCCCCAAGTGGGGGGCCCAATCCCCGAGGCAGTTTAAAATATGCACAGGAAAAGCACTCATACCAGATGACCAAATTTTATGAATATTTCTTTGAATTCCTGTCTGACAAGATACTTAAAAGTGGTTAATAAGTTGCTTTCTCTTTTGCCGAGAGAAGCCCTAATTTCAGTTGTTCCTAACTCAGAAGGTGCCATGCTATGTTCCAGTTTCCCTTGTTGCTAGGAACACAAAATATTAGCAGCCCTTCTGGCCTCAAGACTGCAGAAGGGATTGGGCTCCACTGGATTTTCTCAAGGGGCGTAGGCCAAGCCACAGAAGCATGCCTTCCGCAAGAGGCCCCGAGCCTGTTTCTGGGTGATGATTATACCATAGTTTAGCTTAAAAATATTAATGGTAGTGATTTTAATGGATCTCAATAGATGCAGTTTCACTACAATCCATATATTTGGCTTATGTTTCTTAGATAAGTTGTAAAAACAAAGCAGTTTTGCCAGCAAAGACCATTAACCAAAGTGCAAAGAAAACAGGACAGTGGCAAGCAGCGTTCCCTAATGGTGACGGCCCCTCTTGCTAGAGCTGCTTCCCAGTCCAGCACCACAAGCACAGAGGTGTACAGAGTTTCATCCGGCTTCAGCCCTTGACAGGGTCTCGGCACCCCGGTTGAGAGCCACTACCCCCGAGTTTACAACACAGGAGATTAGTAGCCAAGGTCAGGAACAAAGGTCCAGACTAGAGTCAAGAATCAGGGGATCAGAAGCTGACAGGTCAGGAGATCAACAGAGGTCAAGACATAGGCAGGCACCCTGGGTCAGGGAGGTTAGGAACAGGAAACAGCTAGGGGGTCAAGGGCAGATGGGGAGGGAGGGAGGAGGTGGGGGCGCTGCAGTGATTCCTAGCCCACCTGAGGTTTAAAACCAACCACTTGCAAAGGCAGCAGCATTTCTATTTAGGCAGCAGTGGACGGAGTCACTTGACTTCATGGCTCCTTGTAATCTACCCGATTCCTTCTAAACCCTGCGCTCCATGGTAATGACCAGCTCTTCTTTATCACTGGTCTTAACGTTCCACTAATCAAGATAGCTTTTCTGTTGCAATTCTGTTGTCTGTAGCAGCTCCAGGTAATGCAACTCCTACTTTATAGTCCTGAAGGTTGTTTTTAACTCTAGCTAAAAACATTAGCTCAGGTGTGGAAACATTAACTCAGGTGAACATTAACTCAGGTGTGGAAATAACTTTCAGTGAAGCATTGGATGCACTGTCAAGATGCCCAAAAAAGCTTGCTTGTCAATTTTCTTGCGATTTCCCCGTTGGTCTAATAAAAGGTATCATTTTAGAACCAAGACTTCTAGTTTTTTATATGTCTTCTTGTCTCAGACCAACACGGCTATCACGTACACTCCTGATTTTGTCTTGCGAATCTGAAAGAGATGTACATTTAATTCCAATGACGAGAGGACTAAAGAAACAGCAACTTTTGATTATTTTACCTAGTTGGTTGTATTTTTTTAATATGTAATATATGACACAGAAAATGAATGTACGTTCCAATAACATTATATTTGTTTTTGTTTTGATCTTAAACTGAATAATATAGCCCGAGGCCTCTAGTAAACCTTCTAGTTTCTTTTCTTCTTTTTTTTTACCTGGAGAAAAATATATGCTATGTTATATGAGACAATACACCACACCATCTGCACCCCCCTTTTCAAAACCCTAGGTCCGCCTCTGCAGGGGGTCTAGAGCAGTCAGCTGGAGCTGTCAGGGGCTGGGGTATGGGCGACTGCCAAACCACAGGCCGGGAGCCGGCTGTCAAGAAGATGGGTCTGGACTGGAGTCAGGACCTGGTAGTCTGGAGCAAAGGGGCCAGGGGGCAAGAATCAGAAATCAGCAGGCAGAAACCAAGAACAAGGATGAAGCCTTGTTGTTTTGGGGGCTGGGGCACATGACTTCTGAAGACAGGCTGATGGAGCTGGACTTATTTAGTCTGGAGAAGAGAAGATTGAGGGGGGATTCAATAGCAAACTTCAACTCCCTGCAGGGGGGGGTTCAAAAGTGGATGGAGCTGGACTGTCCTCAGTGGTGGCAGATGACAGAACAAAGAGCAATGGGCTCACGCTGCAGCAAGGGAAGTTTAGGTTAGATACTTAGGAAAAACTCTCACCAGGAGGGTAGTGAAGCACTGGAACAGGTTACCCAGAGAGGGGGTGTTATCTCCATCCTGGGAGGTTTTTAAGGCTCAGCTAGACTGGCTGGGATGATGTAGCTGGGGCTGGTCCTGCTTTGAGCAGGGGTTGGACTAGATGTGACCTCCTGGGGTTTCTTCCAAGCCTCATTTTCTATGATTCAATGTTTCTAAGCCAACAAGCAAGACCCAGGGATTAGAAAACTAGGAACCAACAAGCAGGACACAGGAACCTAGGAACAAGCAAGCAGGAATCTGAAAAGGAGTCAGAAGCCCAGGGTTAGACAAGAGATACTTCCCTCCTGTTGAGTAGCCCGCGGAGCACAAAAGAGCTGCGGCTGTAGGCAGGTAACTGTGCCTATGTAACAGGTGCCAGCTGGGGGTAGTGTTACCTAGTGGCAGCCAGGCCCATTCAAGTACCCAGGGCTAGCTGGGAGCAATTTAAGCTGCCCTGTCTACTGACACATAGCTTACATACCTGCAGCTCCTTCAGGGCAGGGTGCCTGTTGTATCCATAATTTACAGTTGGCTCTTGATCCCTTGGCAATAGCTGCGTGGGTTCACCCAGATATCTAAAGCGTACAAGTTGGCCGTACAGAGCATGTATTGATGCGATATGCATTTGGCATATAGCTCCAGCGCAGGGAACAGAATTCCAGCCCCCGAATTCAAACCTTTGGATTGATAGCTGGTTATTACCCGAACTGGGGTAAAACTGAATTACTGGCACTCAGCTTGTTGGCCTGTGGCATGTATAATTTCCACAGGTAAACTCAAGTATAAATGTACCCAGAAACATTTTCAAACTAGTAAAGTAAAACTGTGCTCTCTTAAAGAATTGTCCTTTGGCGAGAGGAGAGGATGAACACAGTACAAATGACTATTCTGGCTATATCCCAAGAATTTTATCTTGATATGTCTCTTATTTTTAATAGCTTTATTAAAGCCTTCCTATGGGCCCACTCAACACCTATGATTATTGTTTAGCAGAGACGAAGTTAATCTTCCAGACCTATAAAATTATGTTTTTCATGTCATAGATTTCAGACAGGGTCCAGGACACTAGCATCTTTATGGGGGGAAACTGAAGACTTATACATGAATCTGATTCCCCCTACCGATCTCTTATTTTCCAATAGAGAAGGATAAAGTTCCTGTAATAGAGGGTGCATATAAGATCTGGGCTATCTATGGAAGAGGTATCTGTTTCATCCTCACCGTCATGCAGAATCACTTCTATGGGGCAGCTTAGACTTGGAAATTTGGGAACAAACCTGTCATTTGGAAAAACTGGCTGAGAAGGAGTATTGAATGGATTTCCAAGTTAGTCAACGGTGGGGACTGCATCTCTTTCCTAAGCCTACAGCACTGTTATCCTCAGAGGGGTGGTGGTGCTCGTACGTCATTAGACACAGAACTGGAAGGGACTCCAGGATCGTGCTCAGTCCTCTGCTCTCAGGCAACGGTGTCACATAATCCTAGTCATAAACTCTCCAAGTGTCATCATTTTTGCCCAGATAGCGTAGGACCGCTGGAGGATGCCAAAGCTCCTGGGAGCCTTAGAAATACTCCTTAAACTCCCTAGTCCAGGCTTGTGCAGGCATTACGAGCAAAGAGGAACTCCATTACAGCTCACTGTTGAAGTGTGGGAAGTAGATTTACCACAGCCCTGGTGAGAGCCCTAGTCACAGGGCAGGTTACATAATGTTAAAAATACTTCTGGAAGTCTCTGCTAAACTTGCTACAACACATGATTTTCTATTCTAAATACACGGGATGCCATAATGCTTATGTAAGATAAGGCTTTGTCCCCTGACATATGTTGGCACTGGAATAAAGAAAAAGGGACCTAAACATTTGTGGACTAGGACTGTGGAACAGGCAGATAGATGTGAGAGCTGAAACACTGATGGACTTCAGCAGTCAAACTTCTACTGAAAATTATACTGCAGGATGCTACTTCATCACCAGGACTGGCTATCGAGGGCTGCAATGATTGCTGAGCATAAGATTTAAAAAAGATGAAGTAGGTTTATACCCAGAACAGTGTAATTATGCCTATATTGTTAGCAGCCAAAGAAGGAATGGCTTACAGCTGCAAAGATCAAGTGTATGAGATTGAAAACATGTATTTTTTCTGGAAATGTTTGAATAAAATAAATGCTGAAGTTGCTTGAAGAACACTAGATCTTCTATCGAAATCCTCTGCCCTTATTTCTTCTTCCTATTCATGTACATTTTCTCTTATTTCATTGCCATAACCCTCGCCCTGACACGCTCTGAAGCATTGCCTTGTCCTGTGTCCATGCAGCCTTGAACAAACGTGCCCTTCTGCGGGAGCTCCTGTGAAATGGCTGGGCTCGAGGAAGATAAACAGGCTGTGAGTCACTTTACATTCTGTACTTTTTACTTGTTCTGCAAAAGTCAAAAAATAATTAATCACAGATGCAAAGCTCAGGGGCTGGACCTAAGCCAATCCAGACCGGTACCGTCCCACGTTGTTATCACTGAACGCTCTGGAAGTCGCCGTGGACAAGCATGTGTTACACAAACTCCCAGCACAATTAGCACCACCTTCACAGCAGTCATTAGGGTCAAACGGGTCCAAAGATCAAACTACCTTCACATCCCGAGAGGTCCTTGCTTCATAGTGGGATTGAGCTGAGGTATCGTAGCAGAGGGGAATCACGCACTGCTGTTGCCTGTAAGGAATCTACTTTGTGAGCAGAGAACTCGGCTTTCCCAGGTCGTCGGTTCAGCATCTTCCCCAAGTGCAACGTGCATGTGATCCTATTGTTCAAGCTGCATCATGAGTGTTGCATGCTACTACACTTAGATGGATGTGCACCAAACACATGGGCTAGGGACAGACATTCAAAAAACTGGAGCCTAAATTGATTCAATCTTTGCAGATTAGTTTAACCTGAGTAGATTGAACCAATTTGCAAGTGACTCGACATTCCCTTTTGATTTAGGAAGTGCAGCACATGCCTGCAGTGGCTCAGGCCACCGATGCAGTGGCTGGGGTGAGGGCATGGCCAAAACCCGGCTGGCATGGCCCCCTGAGGTGAAGGGGCAGGGACGGGGTTTATTCCCCCCTTCAGCCCTTCTGCCCTGGGGGACTGCTGCCTCCATCGCTTGCTCTCTGTGTGGGGTGAGCAGCAAATAAGTCTCCTCACTGTCCCCTTCGCCAGATGATGGAGGAAGGGGGGAAATAAACCCCCTCCCTGCCCCCTTTGCCTAAGGGGGCCATGCTGGCCAGCCTCTGGCCATGCCCCTGCCTCTGGGGTGGCAAGGGGGGAGTGACCCTGACTGGGCAGCAGTCCTTGTGATGGTGTCCCAGGAGCGTGAGCCTCTTCCCGGCATGGGGCTGCACTGCGGGCATGAACAGCATGGCCCCCTTAGGCAAAGAGGGCAGGGAGGGGGTTTATTTCCCCCCTCCCTCTGGCATCTGGCGAAGGGGGCAGGGAGGGGGCTTATTCCACTGCTTGCCCGGTGCAGGGAGTGATTGGAGGAGGCAGCAGCCAGGGCTGGCATACCCCAGCTGTGGTCCCCCAGGGGCAGAGGGGGTGGAAGGGGGAATAAATTCCCTCCCTGCCCCCTTTGCCTTAGGGACCATGCCAGCAGCAAGGGGAGG